GGCTGCTCTATAACAAGAACATACGCTGCACGTTCCAGAACTGGAGTGCACAGATTTTTCTTACTACTGATGAACTCATCCAAGATGCATGAAGATGCCAAGCCAAGCAGCCAGCGTTAGAAACGAATCCCAATTATCTCCCAGTGTTAAAAACACCCCAATTCGGACAATCATCTTTAGTAAGAAACAGGGTCCTGAACAGGGTCAAGAAAACTTAGAGTTACATCTCTCATGAACAGAAAGTAGAGCTGGGAGACAGTTTATGATGACAGACTTAAACGGCATCCCAAGGCTCCTTTCAAATTACGACTTGAGGAGGGATCTGAAACAGGTGTTTGGTGGTAAACATCTACGTGCCACACATTTCCATAAAGACGTTTCACTGGCTAAGCTCAACATAAGTGCAAGCTGAGCCGAATAAAAGCACTGTACACCCACGCTACGACAATCAAACAACAAACTTTGGTTTGGAGACAAGATTTTTCCATGAATAAAAAATATGAAATGATTTCTGGCTAACCAAGCCGTTTCCACCACATGGGAATCGTTTTGTCTTCAAATTAGGCTAATATATCTCTAAGATTACAAGTTATGTTTACCCAGCCAGGAAAACTCTCTGAAAGCTAACAACTCCTCTTATTAACTCTCATTAGTCCCAGCCGCTCTCTGGAAGAATTAACGCACTGAAGAAACGTCAAAATCTGCAGTTGATTTGTGAGAGGACAGACCCATTATTCACAATAGCTATACTCTGGATTCGACCAGCCATTGCAGGTATCACAACTCAAATCAACTAGCAGCTTTAGACGAGCTGAAAACGTACTCCAAGTAACCTTTGGAGACCATTAGGTTTGCTGTGTTTTAAAGCTCTCACATTCAACATATAATGCTACACACAGGCACTTCTTAAGTGAAAACCACAGTTTCATTCATTGATCATGAACATTTTAAAGGAAAAGAATTATCCTGGCTATTTTGTTCATGAAACCACAACAATAACTCGACAAGGACCCACAGCTGAAAGTTCAGATCAGGAGCTTGGGGAAGCTGGCTGTGGATGGGAAAGGGGTTCGCAACCCGCTGTACCCTCCACCCTCCTCTTTAACAAGACACAGTTGGTTTCATCCTTCTGGGAAGGCTGCTGCAAAAGCTATATTAAAAAAAAAAAAAACACTGTCAAGAAAACTAATAACTAGAAAGAAAACTGTGCCTTGTTTATCTCAACTGAAGAAAAACTGAAGCAACGTCCACAGTTAGGAGCAAGTTTTTCGAGAATTATTCTTCCACAGATGAATCTATCAGCTTCCAGCTGAACACAATGGGACTGTGTTGGTCTTGCAAAAGGCAGAAATTGATTAAAACGGTCTTGTTACTGGTGGTGACGTTACAGATCTCTCGCAAATTGTCTACATTCAAACCAGAAGCTTTACAGAGTACAGCACATACTTTACAAAAGAACACATGAGAAGACATTAAACATTTCTGTTGATCAGAAGGAAAACAGAAAAATGCGAATACTTTGGAATAGTTATGATCTGGCTATGGATTTCAGGGCTGATTCCCATTTCTGCTTCCTCACTGAAAGCACACAGTCCCAACACTTCTCAACTTAGCGAAGGCCTCAGTCCTCTTCCAGACTTTGATCACATGGCTTCATTTCTAATTTTAATCACAGCGTTCATCTGCCATCAGCTTGCACACGGAGGCATGTGCAGGGTTTTAGCTACACTGAGATCATTTTTCAGCTGTATGAAAATTAGGAAAAACATCAGAAAAAAGGTCAGAAATGATGTATTTTAGTTAAATTGACTTATTTGTGCAACAGAAAGCTCCATTTACAACTTCTCTGAGTTCCCCAGTGGGGACCACCTGGTCACTCCACTTGGAAGGGCTCTGCCAGATGTTCGGGCGCCCTGCATGCACGTTGGTGTCACGTGGCCATCTGGCATCCACCAGCTGAAACACCAGCATGAGATGCTTTAACTCTTTGGCCCTTTGTGAGCGCTTGTATATTCGTTTTAAACATCTGCCACCAAACGGAGAAGAGCAGAAAGGAAGTGGTCGCTAAGAACCAATGCAGTGACACACGACAGTCAATTCTGACATGGTAAAATTGAATACTCTGCCCCATTTTACAGAAGCGAGCAAGTTTGGGAGACTGCTGTCAAAACCTCTCCCTGATGAGGGCATCAGTGGTTTCCCTTCAGGGGCCAGGATGGATTTTTTTCATGTGACGCATTGTTTGGCAGCTGTGAACACTATTTTTGTTTTCCTCTGAGACGTCAGAGACTTGGTTAGAGCTTCAGATGAGATGTCATGAACCGGTTCTAGTGGTTTTGAATAGCCTGTTTTATGTAACTTGTTCACGAGTGGAAGATTAAACCTATTTCACAGGATAGGTGTTGTTACAGAAAGCCTTTCTTAGACTCACCTGGGCACTCCATCTAACACCGCCCCTGCTCAGATAGGGACCTGCAGTATTGGTAATTCCTTTAAATCTCATGATATTTGCTTGTAGCACACTATGAACTGTAACATTCGGTCTTTCATACTATGGGTTTTAAAGACACCACACATCACTGGGGAATAATTTGAGGCACAGGGAGGAGAAGTATAGATGGAATAGATATGCAGTCTTTTGTACTCAAAGCCTACATATTCTTTTCAGTGATCAGGAGTCACCAAAGTCAATGATACAGAGCAGTTCCTTTTCCAAATTCAGCCCCCAGCTGTAAGAAAAACCGTTACTGACTCACTGCCATTTGGTGATCTACGTCAAGTGACTCTGAAGGACTCTCTTCCATTTCCTAGCAGGCAGGTATCCTCAAATCACACATTCATCGCTACCAGGGGCAACAGTTGGCCATACACTGCAGCCTAAAGCAACAACCAAGCCACACCGCCAAGCCTCATCACTCCAGAGTAACACATACAGTAGATTGGCCTCACTAAGTGTGGACTACTGATGTCCATGCAACCCATGGGGATTATTTTATTTTCCAAGGCTATCTGGCATATGAACATTTATTTATTTTTAAAGCCCATACTTGCACAAAATCTGTTATGCCTCTTTGATTTCTGTTCCACACAGACCAGAGACTACTTACAGCGATGTTCAGTGCTGTATGTTACAGAGCAAGGAAATGCTGATGGCAGCAGGAACTCTGTGCTCTAAAGATCTGACCGTAACTTCACTCCCACCTCCTTCTCATGATCTTAACATTTTCTGCCATGCTTTGACTCCAAAACCCACTGGAGTGAATGGAAAAGCTCCCATTTGCTTCATTAAATATCAGGCATTTTCAGTTGAGTAGAATAAAGCAGCATTCTCCCCTCAAAACCTTTCTGCAAGAGGTATGCAAGCTAGGGCATCCCCTGCTAATTCAGGTCCCTGTCTCTTCTCACGGAGGTTGCACACAACCTGTGTGCCACTAGAGGGCACATCAGGTCAAAGAGAATCAGTGTTGGTTTGACATGAAGGGTGACATTCTTCAGCTGCAGGTTTTTCAAACATTGCCACTACTTCTGCCCCCATCCGACACCGCAGAGTGTCCGTGACAGAAGTGCGCTGTGGTGGGGTGTCATATGCTGCAAATGAGGATTGCCATCAGCAGGGGAGGCACTGCTTCTCCCCACCATCACCTCAACCTCCATGCATGTGATCTCGCGGTTGCTCTTGTGCTAGGTCTGGCAGACAAGGCAGCCACAAAGCCAGTCCAGATCAACCTGCTGATCTGGTAGAGAATCAACCTATACATCAGAAATAAAAAAGTTTTCTGCCAGATCAGCTACAGTCGCAAGATCCCTGAACCCTTTCTGAGGTCGGGTGCAACAGAAGACAACCGGTGACCTCCCCTTCTGACAGCAGCCTGCAGTAACAACGTATTCATTACATGTTACACAGACCCACCACAGTTGGACCTTTCCTGGATCAGACCCATGCTTCATCAGATCTGGTATCCCTACTTCACCAGCACGCTATTACCTTGGCCAATGCCAAGTGTGTCAGAGGAAGGCATGGGGACACACTGCTGTCGACAGACTTGGCAAGATCTGAAGACATGCACACCCGCAGCTGTCACTCTGATTCTTGATAGTTACAAATTGACTTAAACCCTGAAGCATGATATCCCAAAATAAGTCTTAACTTCCACTGCTAGAGCTTCCCTGAAATTAGTGCACACCTATACCACCACAGGTACGCAAAGTCGGCCACAAATTACAAGCACAAGGACTCCCCTTTGGATCTGCTGGGAAGTTGCCAGTCATAGAGCACCTGGAGGCAAAAACAGAGGGTCTTTCAAAAATGAAGCTGTAACTTACCTTCTACGAAGCACAAAATTTTCTTTCTCAGTGTTCTTTTCAGAGAGACCCCACCCTTGAATAATAATTCATTTAGGGGAAAACCAAGGCTCAGAAAAAGAAGAGCCTTATCGGGTCTATTCTGGTGTATTTTTAAAGCAAGAATGACAAAAACTGAGACACTCACAAGCACAGAAAATAAAAATTTGCTTTGGTTTCCAGGTTAAAGGGATGCTGAGCTTATACCACTCATTTCTATTATAAGAAAGATAGGACGGCCAGAAACAACACTGGCACTTGTAGAAAATGTTCTGTCAAAAATCCTTTTCAAAGGAAAGTTCACATTAAAACAACTTTTTTCTATTCAAGTGTCAGATTCCTATAAAAATGTCCTCCTCCCACCCTCAGAGATGAAACTCCCAATACTGCACACTTTCTCCTCACCAAAATCAGGCACAGTGGCACATCAAAGAAAGCGTAGGCCAACGTCCTGCATGAGATATTTGAACTACACCTTTTCTGAGGCCCCACTGCAGCATCTCCACATCAAAATCTCTTCCCTTTGGTTCTTTGATACCTACTCTAAAATTCCAAATCGCCTGCATAAAATACGCCCCTCCTTGTCTGAGCCAACCTAGTTAACAGACAGATAAAACAGGAAGCCAGTGTTTTACGGATGAAACAAGGTGACACTGTACCATTTGACTCTGGAGCCACTCAATCAGAGCCTCTGCCGTCGAATCCGGGACCTGGCATCGCAGCCCTTCTCTTTCATCTGCCTCCATCATCTCCAGCAGGCCTCGCAGATCCTCTACCAGATGCAGCGCTCGCAGGCCCCCCATGAAGGGCGAGGTGGGGGACTGGCAGTCAAATATGCCATTGGAATACTCTAGTGCCTTCGAACCTGCATCGAACAAAGCCACATGGAATAAATCACAGAGTAAACGGATAAATGCACAGTAATATGAGCAAGTTTTAGACATCCTACGCATCTTTCCTACCAATACAGATTTATCTTAATCGAACTCAGAGCTAGTCCTGGATGTTGCCTCTTCTCCACCCCGGGTGGTTGTTATAAACCACACTGCAATTAAGGAAAAAGCAATCTTTTGCCAACACACATTTGGAGTTCCACTTCTGATAGCTTTAATGCACAGCAACTCCGGCAAGAAGAAGATGGGCTGATGTGACAGAGGAGTCACACGCCACAGCAGCGCACATGAGTTCAAGGCAAAGGCTGGCCTCCTGCTCCCAAGGATATCAGAGGCTGAAAATAATGTGGAGGAAACATGCTCTGCTGCTAATGCTTTGGGTCACCCCACAGCAATTTCATGACCTGAGTTAGATACTAATGGTTTCCAGAGGAAATTTTGCTCAGCATTTTTTTTGCAGAAATATATGACACTGCTCTAAGGTCTTGGAAAATTTTTGAAAGAATAAAGACATGTAAGATGATAAACAGACTGAATCACTTCTACAAGCACAAAATTAAAAAAGAAAAATGAGAGTTTGATACGGAAGTGCTGACGTTTGCATGCTAATATAGGAAAAAATTCTTATTTGCATAAACTTACAGTATATATGTTTGACCTACATTAAAACTTGCTTTATGTTAAGTAGGGAAGGAAACTGCAAATTCAGGATTAAGAATGATTTAAAGTAACCTAGGTAATTCCAGCTAGAATTTCAGTATGTTGATTTTGTGACCTTAATACTGTAATGCCTAGGCACAACGAAATGTGTTAATGACAGAGCATCAGCTTTTGTACTGTCAACTTTTGACAACTACATAGATATGCCATATATGCACTTCCATGAACCTTCATTCATCTCATCTGGCAAGCCAAAGAAAATGCAAGCATTCTACTACTTCCCTTTGGGGGGAAAAAAAAAAAAAAAGGAGAAAAATCCACAAAGAAGCAAAGGAGTTGATATCTCTCTGTTATATTACTTTATAGGTCTGTAAAGACACAGAAGAAATTAAGTCTGTGGTGACTTAAATATCGCAACATCACATTTTATTTTTATATTAAACCTCATACTGTCATAACCAAATTAGGCTCTCGAAAATATAGATACATGATCTGATCCAAATACTAATATCTACTTATGGAAATTTCTAAAGTCACAGCTTATATGTATTTTTAGAGATCATTATGATCCAACTGAATCTACTTTACATCTGTGCCTGCTGTGTGTCCTTAATATCTTTAGGAAAACTGCAGAGAAAAGTTATTGTCCAAGCAAAGCATGTACTGTTACGGGTTTTTTTATTTTTTTAAAGGAAATTATTTTAAGTGGAACTATTAAAGATTTTATAACCATGCTGCAACCCTTGCAACAGTTTGGATAGCTTTCTGCATAGCTCTGCTGAAATTAGATTAAACTATTAAGTTCTTGCTGCTTTGCTCCTCTGTGTACTTATGTTATTTTCCAGCTCACTAGACTCGATTTAAAAAGCAGAAGTTGTATACTTTGTGATCCTTCTCCTTAGTCCACTTAAAATTTGCAGGTCCTTATCAAGATACTAATATTAAAGGCAGGTTCAAACCAAATGTTTGGACCCAGAGCATTCCAGTTTTGAAAACAAGGAAAATTCAGTTCATGTTTTAACTTAAGAGTTGAGAAAAGTACAGAGTAGCCAGGATTAGACAACCTTTCTCTTCTGGCCCTGCTGCAGCTCTTTAAATGCACCCATCCCAGCTTGAAACCTGCCTAGTCCTCAGCTTTCATGATGCTGCATGCACCAGCTGAACTGCATCGTTCAGCCTTTTTGAGCAGCATTTTGATAGGAAGTGGGAGAAAAACTACAACCCATTTAGCCCTGCCTGTGGGTGAGAGCTTGTGCAATTCCTCCACTCCATTTGCTTGCAACCCTCAAGCTGTAAGGGGAGACACCAAACACAACCACACTCCCTCCTCAGGCTGTACTTCTGCCCTCCAGCCATGAAAAAGAAGGACTGAAGCTGTTAAACAAACAAACCGCCCCAAGCGTTTACCTGCTATAATGCCATCCATCTGCTCCAGAGCGGCAGCCAGCATGTCACTTGCATCACTCATCATCTTCTCTCTTCTCCAGGACGATCACCAGCTACACCATAAGGAGTAATAAAACACCAACAGTGGGAGGTGGATCCAGAGCCTCAGGTCTGCAAATCAGTCTGCAAGAGAGAATTTTATTTCACTGCGTGGTCTCTGAATTCAGGCACCGCTGTGGCTGGACCGGTAACAGACTGGGGCTGTTTGCTGACCACAAGCACGACTTGGAGATGTTCATCACCAGGCACAAACTGGCATTTTGAAGCACTATCTTAGGAAGCCAGTTCCTACTTTCGGTCAGCCTGTGGCCTGCTCTGCCTGCAAGTCCACGCACTGAAGGGGCATCCCATAGAGTGCTTCAGAGGTCCCAAACGGCACGCCTGAGAAGCTCACATAGAAGACACAAGGCCTCCTGTCACTAAAGGTAGCTGTAACTCCACAATAACCCAAGTGTCTTTCCTTTATATTTGTTCTCCCCAACAATCTCTTTGTACAGAAGGAGTCTGAATGTTTGTTCAAGATTCCTGGATGCCTGACAATCCAGAAGTCTGGCTATAAGGCCATTTGCCTACAGGCTGAGTATCTAAAAAGTCCTGGACTCACTGGACGCAGCATGCATGAACAGATTCTCTCTCCCTCCTGAAGACTTTGCTCCCGGCTTACCAGAGTTACGCGCCATGATGATGGCACCTGATCTTACCCTCAAACTTTTGAAAACCACAACTGGTCCCCAGGGGAGTATTTCCTGTAGAGTCTGGAAAAGTTAACCTGCCTGACATGCTGTCTGAGCTGGTGAACTAGCAGTTTTTAAATCCCAACGGGCTATATAAAGAAAGCACGGTTACAAGTTAAGCACATGCTTAAGCACTTTGCTGAACTGGAGCCGCAGAGGTCAGAGGCGTACCCTCTCCTTCCACTCTGGCACAATGGACACACAAGTCACTGAAATAGTCCAGATTGTCATGGCTTTAATCTAGGACACACGAGACTGCTGTAAATATAGACACGGAACAAAGCGAAACAAAAAACAGGAAGGAAAACTGGCTTTAACCTTTCGCATACCCTGCCATTTGGTTGTGTATCAGCCCGCATGGCTGCTGACGTTTGCTCCAACAGAAGCAATTAAGAAAGTTGTTCGCAGCATCTCTGGCGTAAGTCCTGGAATGGGGTCTACTAAAACCAAATCAAAACAACAAAAAAACCCCCAAATGTTATAAACTGAATTTTCCCTCCCACAGGTCACCTTTCTGGTCTGACCCAGCTGGCAGTAAGAGCTGATAGCTCTTACTGGAGGCTGCCAGCTAGCTGTGCTGAAATGCTATCCTTAAAAGGCCAGTGAGCATTTCATCTTCTGTATCTTACTACATGAAGTGGGTCCAAACCCTAAGGTAACTTTTGAATGATAGCACAAAGACTCCTGAACTTAATAGCACATGCCTTGTTTTATTTAGTTGCCAGAGTTAGACAAATCAAAAGAATTTTGAAAGACAAAAATATCTATATGTGAATGTGTCACAAATCCATAAAAAAGAAGTAGCACCACAATTAAAGACTTCCAACCTTCAAGGAGGCATCCTCAGATCTTAAACACAATCTAAACAATAAACTTCCATCAGCATAATACCTGCCATAATATGCAGGTGCCACGAGATATTTGGTCTGGTGCCTACGTGTCTGATAAAAATGAGCAGAAAACTCAGTTTTTGCAAACCCATTCACCTACTCAATTCTGAGGATAGTCTTGTCCTTTCCCTTCCAGATCTCCTT